GGTATCTTTTGGCATGACAGTCACTCTTTGGCGTGAATTTAATGAGTCAAATTTATCCTGACAACCTACATAGAAATCTGATCACTAATCAACTGTAAATGTCGACATAATCCAGATCTTGGACTTACCAACGAAAATCAAATTGTAAGGATCACAATTAAATTCCAAGAGTTTGAGTTCTTCATGTAACAAAGTAGAATTAAGTACAAAATCATGGTGTCATGAACTCCACTTTCAAGAAGCAGAAGAGCGGTATCTCGCCCAGTCATCCCTGCAGAAGACTAAGCCAAGTTTTGTAACGAAGGACTGATAATTACTACGAATCACATCATTGACAGACGATATAGAGGATGAGGATGAAGTAACAGCTTTACTGGTACTGAGAAACTTTTAAGTCTGTGACTGAAAGGGTGAGCGAGAATGGAATGAGCACGAGTTGTATCTAGAGATATTATGTATGCAGTAGGAATTGTATCTGACAAACAGAGTCGCATGGAAGATCATTTCAAACATTTGAACGAAGGAACATGTTGAGAATACAAGATGAAAAGCGCATTAGAACAGCACCCATGCTGATTAGAGACCTCGGCCAAACACGCTTGGATGTGCATATTAGGGTGTACAAATAATAGTAATAATTAACCATAAGCATTAATTTTATATATGTAAAATTTGAGTCCTCACAAGAAATATTAAGATTATGGCGTAATAGCAATGATTATATGATCTTATAAGCAAATATCAATGATAATTGTTATGATCATGCAAAGAGAATGACAGAAAATAAAATTGACAAAAATCATGGAAAATATAGTAAAAACAAAATAATGATAATGACAACAATGATGATCATAATCCTAAGAATGTTCATGATAAGAGTGATAATAGTATCATTAATGAGAATGAAAATTGTTATTGTTGTTGTTCTTGTTATTTTGTTGTTATCATTGTCATCATTATTATCATTATTATTGATATTGTTGTTGTCTATGCTGTTGGTGCTGCTGTTATCATTATTATTATCATCATTATTATAATTACAATTATCATTATTATAAACATTAATATCATTATTATCAGCATCATCATTATTACTATTACTGTCATTAACATTACTTATTATTATCATTATTATTATTATTATTATTATTATTATCATTATTACTAGTATTGTTATCATTATGTTGTTATTATCATTATCATTATGAGGATCATTATTTTCTTATCATTGTTATCAATATCATCGCTGCTAGTAGTAGTAGGAGTAAGAATAATAATGATGATAATAATAATAATCATAATAGTAATAATGATAATAATAACATAAATGACAACAATTTACGTTTCTGATAATAGCAACAACAAAGATAATAGTAATGATAATTGTTATTGCCATTATTGTTATTATTATCATTATCATAATTATAATAATTTTCATTTCCATTATTATCATCATTATTACCGTTATCATTATTATCATAATTATCATCATCATCATTATTAATATTATTATTATCATTATTATTATCAATATCATTATCATTACTACTAATATTATCATTATCGTTATACTGATAAGAATAATTATAATAATAATAAAGATTTAGACAATAATGATGGTAATGATGTAAACAATCATAATAATAATAAAAAGAAGAAAATGAAGAATGATGATAATAATGATAATAATAATAATGATAATAATGATAATAATGATAATAATAATAATTATTATTATTATTATAAGTATAATAATAATAATGATAGAGATAATAATGATAATGATAATAACAATAATAGCAACAATAGTGATGAGGATGGTAACAAAAATGACAATGATAATGGTAATGATGGTAATGAAGATAACAATAAACAAAAATAATTATAATAATGATCATGATAATAAAAATATTCAAAATAACAATAAAAATAATAATGACAATGATGATAATGATAAGAATGATAAGAATCATAATGATGATAGCAATAATAATAATACTGATGATAATGATAATAATAATAGTGATAGTAATACCAAATAGCAATAAAAATAGCAATAATAAAATAAATAAGAACAATAATTATGTATGTATATATATATATACATATATATACATATATATATATATATATATATATATATATATATATATATATATATATATATATATATATTAATGAGGATGACAATTATAATGGTATAGAAAGTGATAACAAAAACAATGATACAAATTAAAGGAACAATAATAATGATAGAGATGATGGTAATAACAATGATGGTAATGATGATAATAACAATAATAACAATACTGATGATAATAATGATAATGATGATAGTAATTTCAATAACAGTGATAACAATAGTAATAATAATGAAAATAATAATGTTAACAACAATAATAGTATTGTATTAACGATAATGATAAAGATGATAATATTGATGATATTGATAATGATAACTATGATAAAAAGCAATAATGATAATGTTAATGGTAATAATGGTAATAACTAATAAAAATATTAATGTTATTAGTAATAAAAGCATTATTATTGTAATCATGATTAACGTTATGATAATCGTCATTATTCATTATCATTATCATTATTATCATTATTGTCATCCTCTTCGTTATTACTTTTATCATTATCATTATTCTATTCATTATTAGCATTAGTATTATCATTACTGTTATCATTATTGTTATTATCATTGTTATTATTATTATTATATTATTTATTATTATTATATTATTATTATTATCATTATCATTATTATGAATATTTATTACTATAATCATTATTTT